AGGCTACACTACCACTAGACGTTAGGCTACACTTCCACTAGTCGTAAGGCTACACTACAACTAGTCGTGAGGCTTCACTACCACTAGTCGTGATGCTACACTGCCACTAGTCGTGAGTCTACACTACCACTACCACTAGTCGTGAGTCTACACTACCACTAGACGTGAGGCTACACTACCACTAGTCGTAAGGCTACACTACCACTAGTAGTAAGGCTACACTACCACTAGTCGTGAGGCTACACTACCACTAGTCGTGATGCTACACTGCCACTAGTCGTGAGGCTACACTACCACCAGTCGTGAGGCTACACTGCAACTAGCCGCAAGGCTACACTACCACTAGTCGTAAGGCTACGCTACCACTAGCCGTGAGGCTACACTACCACTAGTCGTGAGGCTACACTACTACCACTAGTCGTGAGGCTACAGTGCCACTAGTCGTGAGGCTACACTACCACTAGTAGTGAGGCTACAATACCACTAGTCGTGAGGCTACACTAACACTAGTCGTGAGTCTACACTACCACTAATCGTGAGGCTACACTACCACTAGTCGTGCGGATACACTACCACTAGTCGTGAGTGTGATACAGGGGGATCTCCTTGATACTTGTTGGTTTCAGTGACACATGGTCCAAGACTTGCAGGGCACCAGTCACACACACACGGACAGCACTCATCATGGACTGCATCATGGTAACTGACGCATACCCTGACCCACTGACAAGTCCAATGTAAATACAAATTGTCTTTACCCTTGATTTCAGCCAGGCATTAGTTGACCTACACTACAATAAAACAATTTGTCAAACGTTTCATTGCAATAACGGCACCACTGATCGCCTCAGGCCAGGCCGGCCACGTGTGACGTCACAGGCGGAGGACCGTCAAACTGTGTCACGTGACCTCCGTAATCGTTTTTTGACGGAAACAGGTACCAGAAATGAAGTGTTTAGGGGTCGACTGTCGGCACAAACCATCCGAAACCGGCTGCGAGCTGCACACCTTCGTGTTCGACGACCGTATCGCGGAATCATTTTTACGCCATGACATTGACGTCAGCATTTGCTGTGGGCCCGACGTCACCTCCGATGGACTCACAGAAACTGGAATCGAGTTGTCTTCAATGATGAATCAAGATTTACCCTCAGATTCGCTGATGGTAGGATGAGAGTGTTGAGGTGACCCCGTGAACGTTATGCTCAGTGTTGTGTACAGGAAGTTGACCGATTTGGGGTCGGAAGTATCATGGTTTTGGGTACTTTCTGTGGGATTGCCCGTTCCCGACTTCTGGTTATCCGTGGGAACCTTAATGCTGCAGGTTACCGCGACCAGGTGCTAACCCCCGAATTTATTCCATTCATGGCAGCACATGGTCCAGGTCTGCACTTCCAACATAACAATGCCAGACCACATGCAGCCATCTTGGCCAGGAATAACCTGCAGAACGCAGGAATCAATGTTCTTGACTGGCCGTCAAGGCCACCTGATCTCAATCCAATCGACCACATCTGGGATGCTCTTGGTACAGGTCTGCGCACTCTCAGGAACCAACCCGAAAATTTGCAGCATCTTGGTGCTGCTTTGCAGAAACAATGGCGCCGACTCCCCAATAATGTGTTTACATACAATAGACTGCCCATGAGGAGGCGTTGCTTGGCAGTTGTGAACACACAGGGTGGCCATACACGCTACTGAATGTGTGAAACATCAGATTTAATTTCTTGTGACTTGACACTTTGTTTACGACTTTTATTGATAAATTGTGTAACCATATGGAACCGATTTTTGGCATTGTGATATTCTCAGTTCATCCTATCGACCTTAACAAGTAAATGATAACCTCTATACCACATTCTTGTGTCCTTTCTTTTATATATTATTATTATACGATTGTGAAGTTTCTAGTTTGACGTTATAAAGACTGTATGACTTTATGACTTTATAGGGGTATATACAGTGATCATTGTGGAATTCGTCCTGAAACGAACTTGATGTGTTGACCTCGTTACACTCCTTTCCTTGTATAAAGTGCTAAGACCCATCAGTCACAGTCTATACCTTGATGCCAGTTTCTTTGGCGTTACAATTCCCTGTAGTACCGTACACATATCTAAACTGGAGCATCATCGGCTTCGGGGGTTCACATAAGTCTCCATTACGTTGACGTGACGTCTTTGGAAACGTCGAAGAACGCCTAGCCAATGTCAACGAATATTGCGTGGATCGGGGACATCTCTATGACTGTAAACCTCACTACATGTTGTGTGAAGGTCACTGAACATTATATCAAGGACAACACACTGACACCCTATGTCGTCACGTATGTCGACGTTTTGTCTTCCAGGATGATGTCTTATCATCAACAAAAATAGGAACTGCCTGGTGACACAGTGACCCGGATTTACTTACAATAGATCGTTGCGCCATGTCATCACTTGTTTCAGGTTGTGCACAATCGGGATTGGATTCTCTACAACATGTATTTGCTTCACTGTTCTCAGTATCCTCCATCTGCCAGCATGTGGAATTATTTAAGGAAACGTCGCATTGTGTGTATCATAACTGTCTATGAGTATACGTTGTGTTTCCCTTAATCAGTTCGATCAAGGTTTTGCGATTTTGGTCAAGGCACGCAGCTTACCTTATCAACGTCTCTTGACATAATACACATGCAACGAAGATTCATATAGCCTTTGGACACGTCAAGGCATCATGTGTAGGGTTTTGAGATCCATATATATGTAAGTGGTAAGACAAAACACAAAACTAATGTGGTGTGGGTAAGGACACCTACATGGGGAACCCTGATTCGATTAAATCCCTAGCAACGTATGTTTGACTGAACAGGCAACCAAACGGTAGTCAGACTCGGTGAATTGGTTCATAGCGTATCATCGTAGCCCGACGGCGTGGGTCAGTGCTCACGATATCGATCACTGTAGTGTCTGTTATTTACAGGCCGTCGTCATTTCATGAAAAGTCAATGGAGATTGTAATGATCTACCAGTTGTTTCTTCTGAGTTTATAATCATCTTTTTGAAATATCAGCTGCGTTCAAATGATCGTTCATGCTCAAAATGTATTAAAATATCTAAAAGCAGCTATGTTTTTTTTACATTTTAGCCTAACCATAACATTTAGTGTTGTTGCACGACAAGGAAATAGAAGTAATGAAATGAACGAAGACTAATTGCATATTTACACATTTGATAACTGTCACTATACCTTCTAAACATTTGATTTTTTTTTCTATCTTAACTATCCAAGTCCTGTAGGTCAAAAGGATCCTAATGCAATATCAATGGTCGCTATATTACATATGCCCTGAGTGGCAAGGGGCTTGCTTCTTTGGAAGGAAATAACAAAATTTGAAACGCCCGTTCTGTTGGAATGACAGAATAAGACGCAGTAATTCTTCAGGGCCAGGAAGAATGCGTACAATAGCGACTGCTGCATTGAACCCATGAGTCCATCAAAGGAACCTCGGTCTGACTTCTATTAAACGGATGTAGAAAACAATCTGGAAGGAAACGTTCATCAAATAGATAGTTTAGGGTGTAATGAGATAATAAATGTAATATCAATTTTAAAACGTTTTAACGTCCACCTCTGATGAGTTCACGATGCAAGATCCGATGATCAAAAGGAGGAACGAGTAAATATTGTTGTACGCCGCAACTGTCCGAAATGTGCATCCGGGGATCGATGCTCAGCATTGCACAATGTGGTTAAGTAACGTTTCTGTGTCTTGATGTCATTTATGGACAAATAACTTTGTGAAAAAAAAATAATATTAAACTTGTATTGCAACAACAATACAATTACATGTTTAAGTACAAAACAACAGGTAAATAAAACATGAACTTTTACACACGTATTGAAAACACAAACACCATACAACGTGTTCAGATAAAAGACAAACCAAGGAATGTTGGAATCATATGAGTATTTACACGATGAATTATATAACAAACTACTACATACGTATAACAGTAACGAAAGACTGATAGCGCTATAGATCTCGAGTCATCACGTGACAACACGGTAAGGATCGGTAACCATGGAGACGGCCTTGGCATAAGATTGAATCAGTAACATCGAGATTGGAGTCTTTGTTCTGACGGCAACGTGTCGTAACAGTGGGGTCCTCCTTTTGGCTTCCTCCAGCACAATACAGACTTGACAAACCTTGTCACTGTCATATGACAGCATTTCAACTTGCATATCATGTATTGAACAAATTAACACGTGATTAAATATAATTGAGGGAGGTCACATCAGTCCATTCAGGTTTCAACACAGATACCCTTCACTTTGTCATCCCTGAGCTTCTGGACATTATCACAGATACAAGTTTGTGGTTATTTATGTCTTTAAATATTCACCGCCTCTTGCTCTGTTTGAAATCTTTCACCAGTCTGGACATTTCCTCCAGACCCGCGAACAGACCCTCCCCGGTCGTAGCACATGTCCCCTGGATGTACCACTTCCGGTCCGTCATCTTCTGAAGTGAAGGGCGTCGACTACTTCCGACAACTTGGCGGCAGCTTGAGGAAACAATGTTGAGATTCAGCATCAATATGATTGTTTTATCAATAACGGCGTTATTTTCAAGACTGTACTTCCCACACATTGACGTTAAACCAAAACGATAACAAAAAAACATAAGATGACTAGAAATATTATGGATAATAACAAGTTCAATCTGGGATAATGTTTTACCCTGGATCAAGTAATTAAAACACAGTTTTCTCGTCATATTATACTTCAACTTCTAAATGCCTACAAAGCCCTTCATGAGCCCCATTCCCATCATAACTACCATCATAACTACCATCATAATTACCATCATACCAACCATCATAACTACCATCATAACTACCATCATAACACCAGCAGTATCACCATCACATCAATATAAAAACCCCGCCCCTCAAAGCGTGTATGTTGATAATCCGGGGATGGCTAGATTACGTTTCCCCCCATGTCCCTACCTGGCAAGTCTTGCTTGTTAGCCAGGACGACCACAGGGACGGATCTCATCTCGTCGCTGTCGATGACGTTCTTCAGTTCTTCCCGTGACTCAACAAACCTCTCCCTGTCGTTGGTGTCTACCACGTACAAGATACCTGCAATGTAACAAGATGATATTCAATTGACGCCGTAATGAGAGAAACGACCGAATATTGAACACATATCTCCACCTGGAGGCTCACATATTTTACCAATAAATATAGCTATGTAAGAACATAGTATAAATTAGGGTTCTCGTACATTAACTCTATATTAACTTGGTGACAAATCACCAGAAAGGCTTTGTTTGTCATTCATCAATACAAAACCAAACCTACTCTCAGCCCTTAAAATAAGAAAACGAAAATAACCGAACGAAACACCCTCCTAAGACATACAACAAATCTCACCGCTGCAGTTCTGGAAGTAATGTCTCCACAAGGGTCTGATCTTGTCCTGACCCCCCACGTCCCACACGGTGAAGTTGACCCCCTTGCAGGGGCTGACAGTCTCCACGTTGAAGCCGATGGTGGGGATGGTGGAGACCACCTCGTTCAGCTTCAGCTTGTACAGGATCGTCGTTTTACCTACAACATACATCCATACATTCACTGTTACTACAATATATTGTACTGTGCGTTGGGCGTGAACAAAAACTCTCTCTTTTCACGTTTACCAATGTAAATAGTAATAAATATTCGTTTACGTAACATCTCTCCGAACAAAACATTATACGCACATCTCTATTTGAAAAATATGAACAATTGTTTCGTGAAACGTAAAATTTTGTTCAAATCAATTATGTAAATTTTCGAAATGTATCATGCAAAATTTCAATGAAATATCACATAGATCTATATAACCATAACAATTTGTGAAAGAAGCAATGCATAAAACATGAGTGAAATGCCAAGTTTATCATGTAAATTTTGAATGAAATATACCGTATTAACAAGTTGTTTAAAAGGTAGCTGCAAATAAATATTCATAAACATACCGGCAGCATCGAGTCCAACCATCAGAATTCTTGCTGGGTCTCTTGAAAACCCGGAGAACAGGCCTGTACTCAGCAAGTTTATCCAAGATAACACCCATGATTTGAGTAGCTCTGACACGAGAAGTCAATATTTAATATCTGAGACAGCGCAGGACGCGTTAATGTCGTCTTATGTTGTGTCTCGATCACAGCTTGAATGATACAGTATTATTAAACTTGGTTTATATAGTCGACGAGGTTCCAGCGTGGAGGGATATGTTTATGTTTCGGGTCGTGATGCAACATGGTTTCTACGCTGTCATATTCCACACGCACACCTGCTGACGAAACTCCAAACACCTGGCGCGAAAGACGCTGGAGAAAATGACGTCACGGGAAACCGGGTCATGTGACGGGGAATCCCCTCTAAATGTAGCCGCCTGCGCTGAGGGTTACTGTTTTGATTTGCCGATGCAGGGGAAGTTGACTGTTTCCAATTGTCTGTGATGATGTGTGATTGGATTTGACGAACGTGATGCTGATTAGTGTACCTAGGGGTCAGAACGTAGCCCAGTTGTGTCAGTTTTTAGTTCACTCTGTCAATTCTGAAATAACCTTCACCTTGCAAATGATACCTTTCCACCATTCGTCACCACTCGCCCATTTCCGTAACCGCCGAGAGTGTCTCGTCTCCGATGTATATCATAAGCGAAAATACGCCAAACCTATAAGAATGAGTGGAAGGGTTTGAGGTCATTTAATAAGAATAATCCCGAGAACATTTAATCGGTTATGACAGTACTAGTATGTGATTGTTTAGAAAATCGGGGAAATATGTATCGTCATTTTGACATTACAAATAACGATGTAACTATAGCAGAATTGTTTTGCATAATTTGGAGTTTTTAATATGGACAGCGCCATGAACAGTGAAACATTCAAATACGCACTCGTGTGTTTGTTCACATTTATAACTGCTCTTGTGTTTCCACTCAGTGTTTTCTTCTGAGATTTTACCTGCGCTTACTGACATTATGCGTGTTGATCCATTTGGTTTCGAAAGTTTATTTTTATTTTTATTTTCATCTCCATATTTATTAAGAGGTGATAACTATTTTTAAGCAATTGTGTTTGGGACTTTTTGCAGATGAAGTTATTTTTCTTATTACAATTGTACATTCAAGAAAAATATCCCATTTTGGTTTTTAACCCGTCTTAATGTATGCATTGTAGATATAAAGTAAACGGCTAATAAAAATTCTATTTTATAAATGCATTTTTGTAAAGACGGGTTAACAATCGCAAATGGGATTATTTTCTTGAATATGCAGTTGTAATAAAAGTCATATGAAAATGACGATACATTTTATATTTTTCAAGTTTTCTAGACATTCATATTAAACCGATTAATGTAAGCGGAATTATTTTTATCAAAGTACCTCAACCCTTTAAGCGCATTCTGCTTGGATCGTCGTATTTTCGCACATGATATCCATAGAGGGGATTTCGGAGGTTTCGGAAAATGGCCGTCGCCATATCCATCGCGCTGCGGAGCTATTTTTAGAACTCCACGTGACCAGAAATTGACAATTGTATATTTCGAAAACAAGCTTCCTGAATGTGACCTATGTAAGACTCCCATTGGTGTATGTGGTCATGGTGACGACAGTCATGCAGACTGACTAGATAACAACTGGTATAAATTCAGAGCGGAAAGGGACAGCCGTGATACAACTTCGCACTTTCTGCCGAAGTGGACACATTTTGTGGACTATTTATCGTGTTGAAGGGACGTTTTGTGACATCGCTATGGGCTGGTCACTCTCACGGCTTATGAGGATCCACCATGAGTTTTCATCGGTGAAAGCACGTATCCTGATGCTTGGGTTGGATGGGGCAGGTAGGCTCGGGGATGTTTGTTTGTTTGTTTGTTTGTTTGTTTGTGTATTTGTTTGTTGAAAGACGCACTAATACAAATTCCAGGTACATGACGGCGTTCCTTGAATAATCGAGTCCCATCGCCGGACCCAGTTTATAACTTTAACTGTTGGTTGGTGAAGATCAATGCGTATAAAGGATGGGGAGATATAATAATAATAATAGTCACTATCTGAAATTTGAGGTTGATTTTGTTGATGGCAATGTACTGCTAGACGGTACAGCGATGGGAGTAAACCAGGTGAAGTTATTCACCAAGTCTGCTCAGAGTCGGTCTTTTGTGGAGAAGCTTTCTGAGAAGCCATTGCATCGTGTGTACATGCAGTGTGTGGAACAGAACAGCAATCCAGCCGATTCCTGCACCTGAATGAAGTCAGCTGGTCTTAAATGTGAAACTGAGGGTTTCCATTTTGCTGCTCAGGACCAGTCAAGTCCCACTCGTAATCGCCTAAATGTGATTCTAAAAGAAAATATTTCCATGAAATGTCGATTATGCAATGAATTTACAGAGACTGTCCAATACCTTGTCAGTGGAAGCCCTTCCTTGGCACAAACAGCATATCTTAAAAGACATGATGGCATGGCTGGTTTCTTTTACTACCGTCTTCGTCATGCCTGTGGCTTTGACACCGAGGTCCATCCATGGTACGACTCTGAACATGTCCAGGGCGTCATGGAAAATGATGCTTTCAAACTTCTGTGGAATAGGCCCATATACAGCCTCAGAAGACAAACAAACCTGATCTTGTCCTTTTTGATAAAGCCATTGAATGTATTTATATCATTGAATTTTCTGTCCCTTTTGACACCAATGTGATTGGCAAGATTCAGGAAAAGCATGATAAATATGTGGACCTCGCCTTTGAAATGTCTCGCTTGCATCCCAAGTACACTGTCGTCAGACTCCCGATTGTTCTCGATGCCCTTGGTTAGGTACCCCCTGATCTCTTGGCGCACGTCAGGAGAGTGCCCGGGTTTTCCACCGGAAGTACAACCCTTCTGACACTCTGGGTAATGCAGAAGGCTGCAGTGTTGGGGAGCCTTCATATTCTCCGGAAAGTTCTTGGTGGGTTCGACTAGGCAGTGTTTCCTGGGAGAAGTCCCATTCGCTGTCTGGGCTGCGTGTAGAGGGGGCGAGGGCCCAGAGCTGATGATGAGCCTTACCAGCCTGACTGTGCCAGGATAACCCGAACCCTCTCTGCTGCATTTTAATCTTTAATCTGTAAAACATAATAATATTTCATTATGTTTAACTCAGAGAATCAGTATTAAGCGTTCCTTGTTTACTGATCAGTATAACCTGTTGTTGAAAACCTATAATACAAGACAGATCAGATACCGTAAGAAGTCCTATGTTCTCATTCAAATAATGTTATGGTTTTATAAATTTCAAAAACTGTCTTTGATAATCAAAGATTCTCACGATTAAACGATGATGTGGTAGGTGAGGTGTGGTATATAAAGAAATACACAATGTTCACAACGTACGACAGATGTTTTACTTGTTATATCGGTTGAAGCCGATAGACTCACCATATACTGTTTTCACAGAAATTATTGAGAAAATGTTTGTTTCCTAATAATGATAATAAACTTATAGAATAGATGTTACATTATGTAGTAAGGTACTCATAATGGGAGGCAACTCTTGTTACTACATCAAGAGTTATCTCCCCTGTTGTAGTATACGGCTTCCTCTGTTGACATGGCAGATTTGACAGCAGAAGGGAAAAGAAAGCTGATTCTAGATGTTTTTCAAAGGGGTGTGACCAATGCAAATGAGTTAGCTAGTAGACGTGACATTTCTGTCTACAGAAAACAGAACTTTCAATACAGAACTTTAATATTCAGTCAGGAGTTAGCATTGAGCACAAGATAAGGGCAGGGAGGCCAAGGATGTTCAGTACTACGTATAGCCGGGGAAAGTGAGCAGGGGAAAATTCAAACATATTGAATGTATCAGAATTGAGATGATTAATAGAGGAAGTCCTCCATTATGTAATGGAACCCTTAGAAACGAATTTCACAGATTTAACTGGGTGATACAGCGCAGAATCCCCTGACCATTGATAAATGATGAACAAAAAGAAAGACGTTTAAATTGGTGTAGATTCACTGATTGGGATAATGTTTCCTTGTCTGATGAAAGTTCTGTCTGCCTGTTTTCGAACTGTGTGAAAATGTAAACAAAAGGTACCGTGAAACCTATCTACCAACGCCCAAAACATAGCCCGAAATTTCACATGTGGGAGTGACGCCGTTGTGTATTTTCACTGGAAGTTTGACGAAGGAACGATATGTTGACATTTAAATGGTTACCTCCTTCCAACAGCCCGAACACTGTATGAAGATAATTGGATTTACCAGCATGATAACGACCCAAAACACACCGCTGGCTACACAAAACAGTGGCTGTCGGACGAAAATGTTCAAGTTTTAGACTTGCCCAGCTACAGCCCAGATTATATCCCATTTGAGATTTCGTGGGGACTAATGAAGGACAGAATAAACAATAAAAGGACTAGAAATATTGAGGATATGAAGAAAGAAGTGGTCCAATATAGCAACTTTGACCGACAGTGTACCTTGGCACGTTCAGTCATGTATAGCAGGACATGGGGTCTCACGAAGTACTGAAAAGACACTTAGCCTGTAAGTCTGAATAGTACCTCATACTATATATAGCACTCCGTTTGTGTCGAGCTAAGAGTAAAGTGCTCGTTGTGGTTCCCGGGACTTGGGAGTAAACAGTAAACCGTGGCACTGGCCGAGGTTAGAGTGAATATAGTTTTACGTCGACACGGCACTGTTCCTGCAATTCTGAGATGGTATTCCTACAAGAATTTGGGTCTTGGTTGAAAACAAAAACTATTTTTCACCTTTTCAGTGGTGTTGGTGTCGCAGGTAAGACGACGATCCTGTACAAGCCGAAGCTGGAAGAGGACGTTTCCACCATCCCCACCATCGGCTTCAACGTGGAGACCATCAGCCCGGTCAAAGGTGTGACGTTCACCGTGTGGGACGTGGGGGGTCAGGGGAAGATCCGACAGCTGTGGAAACACTACTACCCCAACACACAAGGTAGGTCAACATATACCCAACACTACTACCCCAACACACAAGGTAGGTCAACATATACACAACACTAGAACCCCAATACACAAGGTAGGTCAACATATACCCAACACTACTACCTCAACACACAAGGTAGGTCAACATATACCCAACACTAGTACCCAAACACACAAGGTAGGTCAACATATACCCAACACTACTACCCCAAAACACAAGGTAGGTCAACATACACCCAACACTACTACCTCAACACACAAGGTAGGTCAGCATATACCCAACACTACTACCCCAACACACAAGGTAGGACAACATATACCCAACGCTACTACCCCAACACACAAGGTAGGTCAGCATATTCACAACACTACTCCCCCAACACACAAGGTAGGTCAACATATACCCAACACTACTACCCCAACACACAAGGTAGGTCAGCATATACCCAACACTACTATCCCAACACACAAGGTAGGTCAACATATACCCAACACTACTACCCCAACACACAAGGTAGGTCAGCATATACCCAACACTACTATCCCAACACACAAGGTAGGTCAACATATACCCAACACCACTACCCCAATACACAAGGTAGGTCAACATATACCCAACACCACTACCCCAATACACAAGGTAGGTCAACATATACACAACACTAGTACTCCAACACACAAGGTAGGTCAACATATACCCAACACTAGTACCCAAACACACAAGGTAGGTCAACATATACCCAACACTACTACCCCAACACACAAGGTAGGTCAACATATACCCAACACTACTACCCCAACACACAAGGTAGGTCAACATATACCCAACGCTACTACCTCAACACACAAGGTAGGTCAACATATACCCAACACGACTACCTCAACACACAAGGTAGGTCAAAATATACCCAACACTACTACCTCAACACACAAGGTAGGTCAACATATACCCAACATTACTACCTCAACACACAAGGTAGGTCAAAATATACCCAACGCTACTACCTCAACACACAAGGTAGGTCAGCATATACCCAACACTACTACCTCAACACACAAGGTAGGTCAACACATACCCAACACGACTACCTCAACACACAAGGTAGGACAACATATACCCAACGCTACTACCCCAACACACACGGTAGGTCAGCATATTCACAACTCTACTACCCCAACACACAAGGTAGGTCAACATATACCCAACGCTACTACCTCAACAAACAAGGTAGGTCAACATATACCCAACACGACTACCTCAACACACAAGGTAGGTCAAAATATACCCAACACTACTACCTCAACACACAAGGTAGGTCAACATATACCCAACATTACTACCTCAACACAAAAGGTAGGTCAAAATATACCCAACGCTACTACCTCAACACACAAGGTAGGTCAGCATATACCCAACACTACTACCTCAACACACAAGGTAGGTCAACACATACCCAACACGACTACCTCAACACACAAGGTAGGACAACATATACCCAACGCTACTACCCCAACACACAAGGTAAGTCAGCATATTCACAACTCTACTACCCCAACACACAAGGTAGGTCAACATATACCCAACACTACTACCCCAACACACAAGGTAGGTCAGCATATACCCAACACTACTATCCCAACACACAAGGTAGGTCAACATATACCCAACACCACTACCCCAATACACAAGGTAGGTCAACATATACCCAACACTAGTACTCCAACACACAAGGTAGGTCAACATATACCCAACACTAGTACCCAAACACACAAGGTAGGTCAACATATACCCAACACTACTACCCCAACACACAAGGTAGGTCAACATATACCCGACACTACTACCTCAACACACAAGGTAGGTCAACATATACCCAACGCTACTACCTCAACACACAAGGTAGGTCAAAATATACCCAACAGTACTACCACAACACACAAGGTAGGTCAACATATACCCAACGCTACTACCTCAACGCACAAGGTAGGTCAGCATATACCCAACGCTACTACCCCAACACACAAGGTAGGTCAACATATACCCAACACTACTACCCCAACACACAAGGTAGGTCAGCATATACCCAACACTACTATCCCAACACACAAGGTAGGTCAACATATACCCAACACCACTACCCCAACACACAAGGTAGGTCAGCATATACCCAACACTACTATCCCAACACACAAGGTAGGTCAACATATACCCAACACCACTACCCCAATACACAAGGTAGGTCAACATATACACAACACTAGTACTCCAACACACAAGGTAGGTCAACATATACCCAACACTAGTACCCAAACACACACGGTAGGTCAACATATACCCAACACTAGTACCCAAACACACAAGGTAGGTCAACATATACCCAACACTAGTACCCAAACACACAAGGTAGGTCAACATATACCCAACACTACTACCCCAACACACAAGGTAGGTCAACATATACCCAACACTACTACCCCAACACACAAGGTAGGTCAACATATACCCAACGCTACTACCTCAACACACAAGGTAGGTCAACATATACCCAACACGACTACCTCAACACACAAGGTAGGTCAAAATATACCCAACACTACTACCTCAACACACAAGGTAGGTCAACATATACCCAACATTACTACCTCAACACACAAGGTAGGTCAAAATATACCCAACGCTACTACCTCAACACACAAGGTAGGTCAGCATATACCCAACACTATTACCTCAACACACAAGGTAGGTCAACACATACCCAACACGACTACCTCAACACACAAGGTAGGACAACATATACCCAACGGTACTACCCCAACACACAAGGTAGGTCAGCATATTCACAACTCTACTACCCCAACACACAAGGTAGGTCAACATATACCCAACACTACTACCCCAACACACAAGGTAGGTCAGCATATACCCAACACTACTATCCCAACACACAAGGTAGGTCAACATATACCCAACACCACTACTCCAATACTCAAGGTAGGTCAACATATACCCAACACTAGTACTCCAACACACAAGGTAGGTCAACATATACCCAACACTAGTACCCAAACACACAAGGTAGGTCAACATATACCCAACACTAGTACCCAAACACACAAGGTAGGTCAACATATACCCAACACTACTACCCCAACACACAAGGTAGGTCAACATATACCCAACACTACTACCCCAACACACAAGGTAGGTCAACATATACCCAACACTACTACCTCAACACACAAGGTAAGTCAGCATATACCCAACACTACTACCTCAACACACAAGGTAGGTCAACATATACCCAACGCTACTACCTCAACACACAAGGTAGGTCAACATATACCCAACACTACTACCTCAACACACAAGGTAGGTCAACACATACCCAACACGACTACCTCAACACACAAGGTAGGTCAAAATATACCCAACACTACTACCTCAACACACAAGGTAGGTCAACATATACCCAACGCTACTACCTCAACACACAAGGTAGGTCAAAATATACCCAACAGTACTACCACAACACACAAGGTAGGTCAACATATACCCAACGCTACTACCTCAACGCACAAGGTAGGTCAGCATATACCCAACACTACTACCTCAATACACAAGGTAGGTCAACATAAACCCAACACTGCTACCTCAACACACAAGGTAGGTCAGCATATACCCAACACGACTACCTCAACACACAAGGTAGGTCAGCATATTCACAACACTGCTATCTCAATACACAAGGTAGGTGAAAATATACCCAACACTACTACCTTAACGCACAAGGTAGGTCAGCATATTCACAACACTACTACCTCAACACACAAGGAAGGTCAGCATATTCACAACACTAATAAATAATAATAATAATAATAAATGGTTATTTCTTATGCACCATAGTCCATCCAGAGCATGCTCAAAGCGCTATATATAAAAAGAGTCACTAGAGTTCAAGAGGAAGATATGACAATTAGCCAAAATAACCGTGAGAATATTTTGCAGTTATAGGTTGTAGACTTTTTTTGAAGAGGAAGGTTTTGAGTCCCGATTCGAATGCTTCTAGGGATGAAGCATTTTTTATGGGAGTAGGAAGACTGTTCCATAGGGTTGGTGCTGCAAATATGAATGACCTATGGCAAAGTGTTTGAGACGAACTTGGGGAACTGAGAGAAGATGTTGATTCTGAGAGCGGAGAGAACGGGCAGGCATATATGTTGACAACATCTCAGAGAGGTATGGAGGAGCTAGGCCGTGTTTGCAGCGGAAAACAAGAGTGCAGATCTTGAAATGAATTCTTGCTTCAACCGGCAGCCAATGCAGACTCTGGAGGATTGGGGTTATGTGAGTCCATTTGGATGTTTTAGTGACAACACTGGCGGCAGCATTCTGAAGTTTTTGAAGTCTGAAGAGAAGATCATTGGAGATTCCAAACAGTAGGCTATTGCAATTGTCAATCCTGGAGAGAACAAGTGACTGAGTGAGAACTTTAGCAGCATCTGTGGTTACAAGATGGCGGATGTTACCAATAGAGTGGAGATGGAAGTAGCCTACTCTACAGAGATGGTTGACATGTTGCTCCATGGTGAGACAAGGATCAAGATAAACACCTAGGTTTTTTACACTGGATGAAAGTTGGATATCTGAGTTGGCTACTGTGATGTCCGTAGAGTTTATCCTTTTCAGACGTTGCGATGTGCCAATCAACATAGCCTCAGTCTTATCATCATTGAGCTTCAGCTCATTTGTCATCATCCATGAACTAATTGCCTTCGTGCACTGACTCACTCTAGATCTTGCTATTTATACATCCTCTGGTTTGAAGGAATCCATCAACTGGAGGTCGTCTGCAAATGCGTGGTGATTCAGATCAAAGTTATCAATGACCTTCTCCAAAGGGTTTGTGTATAACACAAAGAGAAGCGGCCCAAGGACTGAGCCCTGGGGTACACCACACTCTAGGATCGTTGACTCAGACATGCTTTCAGAGACAAGAACTGACTGACTCCTCATGCTCAGATAGGAACGGAACCAGGCCAATGCATCCCCTTGTATGTTATAGTCATCCTGAAGACGGCTAAGGAGCTTCTGGTGGTTGACCGTGTCGAACGCCGCTGAGAGATCAAGCAAGAGGAGAAGTGACACATTACCCAAATCCGCATGGCATCTCAGGTTATTCAGAATTTGAAGTAAGGCGGTCTCAGTACTGTGCCTAGGACGATAGGTTGATTGGAATCTGTTCAGAAAATCATTTGAAGAGAGATAGGATCTGAGTCTGACATCAACTGCACGTTCAAGGATCTTGGAAAGGAATACACAAGGTAGGTCAACATATACCCAACACTACTACCTCAACACACAAGGTAGGTCAACATATACCCAACGCTACTACCTCAACACACAAGGTAGGTCAACATATACCCAACGCTTCTACCTCAACACACAAGGTAGGTCAAAATATACCCAACACTACTACCACAACACACAAGGTAGGTCAACATATACCCAACGCTACTACCTCAACACACAAGGTAGGTCAAAATATACCCAACACTACTACCACAACACACAAGGTAGGTCAACATATACCCAACACTACTACCTCAACACACAAGGTAGGTCAACATATACCCAACGCTACTACCCCAACACACAAGGTAGGTCAACATATACCCAACGCTACTACCTCAACACACAAGGTAGGTCAGCATATACCCAAGACTACTACCACAACACACAAGGTAGGTCAGCATATTCACAACACTACTACCTCAACAGACAAGGTAGGTCAGCATATTCACAACACTACTACCTCAACACACAAGGTTGGTCAACATATACCCAACACTACTACCTCAACACACAAGGTTGGTCAGCATATTCACAACACTAATACCCCAACACACAAGGTAGGTCAACATATACACTACACTACTAGCACAACACACAAGGTACGTCAAAATATACCCAACACTACTACCTCAACACACAAAGTAAGTCAACATATTCACAATGCTACTACCCCAACACACAAGGTAGGTCAACAAATGTACCCTACACTATCATATATTAAAATGGGAGTCATACTTTTCACACAGAATAACCCACGGTGCACAGTACGTACACCCAGTCTGTTGTTATGGCCGACAAAATGGGGTAGATATCAGAAAATGTCTGTGAGTGAACTTGACGGGAGACGCTCTCCAGCTGGGCCCTCAGCTGTAGCCTGGCTCTTCTGACGTATCGTAATACCCCCATTGGGTGGATTGACGTTGACGGCAGTGCAGTGGTTGACCAACACATGCTACAACGACACATTATACCACCCCCTAGACAACATTTCATAACTTTCCCTACGGTTAAGGTTAGGAACACGAAATAAATTGCATCAATAGATATTCCAACTACAATTACATGGGATAACGCAATTGCCTTTCAAATATATCGTGGCTATTGATTGGCTAACCAAAAAAATATTTTTGGCATTTTCCCACTGAATCCTGGTTGGATGACAAAAAGATGGGTGTGTCACAGACTTCATGGTGTGTGTTTGTGTTAAACGTTACGAGAGCAGTCTGTGAAGTTATAACGGTTGGCTGTGAGGATTTACACAGTGAGAACACCGCCAAACATGTTGAAGTCAATTCTTCGATACTCCCCAGGTCTGATCTACGTGGTGGACAGCGCAGATCGTCTGCGCATGAAGGAAGCCAGGTCGGAGCTCCATGTAATCTGCAGTTCGCCGGAGATGGCTGGGGTGCCGGTAGTGGTGATAGCTAACAAGCAGGATTTGCCAGATGAGTGACTCAGACTAGTCTATAATGACCGGCAAGGTAGAATCAGACCTACAGCAGGCAAACTAGTGATTGATACTAGGCACAGTGACACTGTTATGGGGAAATTAAACCAGGGCGTTGGGAGAACTCACCAATGGTTTTACTGCGCGCGACAGGTAGATACATAACATGTTGGTTTTTGTACTGGCATAACTCACATTCCTGCCATATGCTAGCATACTGTACAGTGATGGACACGGGGTGTTTAGGGAAATCAAACCAGTTTTATCTGAGAAGAGCTAACACATTCACCACTGGGCCACCCTGCCGCCACTCTTCACATTAAATAAAAGATGAGTTCTTTGGAGTCATGGGACATCGTTTATCACGCCGCAGAAGGAAATTATTATGAATGAAGTAATTTGTAAAATATATTTGTGTTTTGGACACAGGTGCCCTAAAGCCCCCCGAGGTTGCTGAGGAACTTGACATCAGCGACCTCAAAAACCGGAAATGGCACATACACGGCGCATGCGCACCAAATGGAGAAGGGCTGTTCGAGTCGGTGCGGGAAATGTCACGTCTTGTGAAATACGTACAGAAGAATGGTTGATGATGAGTATGGCCGCTCCACAATGTCAAATATAACAAACCAACCAAAACTTCCCAGGGGACAATTATGACGTACATAGGGAACAGCTCTGCCCTCGGAAATACGGCTTCGTTTACGTCTTGATCTGACACAGAAGATGACGTCCACAGCTCTACCGGGGCCTCTCCGGATGTCCACCATCCTGCATGTAACTTCTCATGACAGAGATACTTGATATTGTTTGTTCCGGGTACTCTTAAGGCAGGCTAAAATACTGAATCCAACTACATGTGAGTGAGTCAGTCAGTCAGTTAGTCATTATTGTTTTGTTGTTTGTTTGTAAATGTTATGTAAATATTGTTTGTACTTTTTGTTCATAATAAACACGTTTTTCAAACACAGTTATCCTTGGTTTCCCTGACACACAAATATGTTATGGGGTCCGTATGTGAGTGAGCTGAGGTGAAATTGGGTTTTACGTCGTACTTGAGAATATTTCGCTCATATGACGACGTGGATGCGTGTGTATGTGTAAGTGCGGCTGCTTGTACAAGCCCAGACTTAAGCTGGTTTTATAGTGCTAGCCCACTGACATACCATGCCGCAGTGAAGCATGAATACCCCACTCAGACACATTATACTGACTCCGAGCCGACCAGTCCTTGTTGGACCCATTAATGCCGAGCGCAAGGCAAGGACCAACAAGTACCATACTTTAACGTCTTTTGGTATGACGCGGTCGGGGATCGAACCCACGACCTTCCGCTCTTGGTGCGGACGCTCTAACCACTACACCACGGAGGCGGTCTCGTATGTGAGTGAATGAGTACGGACTGTTAATCAGCTTAAGGAAGGTTTAAAACTTTGCACACTTCCTGAATAATCACCTACTCCAAGCAGACGGTGTGTTGAAGTTGACCACCTGGCAAAAGGAACTGACAGCATATAGAATGGGAACTGGAACATTTGTTCAGCGAAAGGTTGTGACGTCATAGCCAGGGAACTGTAGTGGTGGGAAATCCTTGCTGGCAATGTTGTGCGTTATAACCAGTTTGGTGTTATAACCAGGGTAGACTGTGCACATGAAACACAATATAACAATCCAATCTGCATCTAAGTACCCTTGGGAACATGGGCCACATTATGCTGTTGAGGGTAAAATCTCTTCAACACTCTGTACCCATTTATACAGTAAACTGTTTAATTCAGTTGCGTTTTACGGTCTTGTTCAATTAAGTAATACTTGGACTACTAGTATTTACGAAGCGATTAGAGATTGCTTTTTCCGGATACATGATACCGTCCTTGAGTATATCCCGGTACATCACAGTGTGTCGCTTCAATATGGAAGGAACAAATATGGTGCTGACCAATCAAAGATAATCAAGGTGAATTCGAACCTACGATCGTCGGATCATTGTCAGCTAAGGGGCGCAACTGTATGTATGTCGTAAATTTGTGTTAAAGGATGGGAGGAGTTACGATCATCTTTTTCGCTAAGACTGATTTCTTTGTATAGGCCCAGTGTATTAGGTTGCCTTCATTAAGTCGAGGTTTCGAGGGTTACGTTATTACACCGACTGACTGAGTTTGGTTTTACGCCGCTTTTAGCAGTATTCCAGCAATATCACGGTGGGGGACACCAGAAATGGGCTTCACTCATTGTACCCATGTGGGGATTCGAACCCGGGTCTTCGGCGCGACGAGCCAACGCTTTAACCACTAGACTACCCCACCGCCCCTACGTTATTAGAGTACACCAGGGGCGGTATTCATAAAATAACTTAAGTCTGAAATATGACTTAAGTTTTTGAAAAAACTAAGTTTATCACTTTTTCTGACTTAAGTTTTCAGATTTTACTCAAGTCATATTCATAAAGCAACTTAGGCTTAAGTTTTGGCGATTTCCGACTTAAATCTTAAGACTGGGCAGGGGTAGGCTTAACTGGAAGGTGTTTGACTTAAGTCAGTAAACAATATGGCTGCCGTAGCGCTGAGGCGTCGTTCATTTCACCAAAGACCCGTGAAGATCCGGGGTATAATAGGTCTTCAGCAACCCATGTGCTTGCCATAAAAAGGCGACTATCTTGTCGTAAGAGGCGACTAACGGGATCGGGTGGTCAGTTTCGCTGACTTGGTTGACACATGTCATCGGTTCCCAATTGCGCAGATCGATGCTCATGCTGTTGATCACTGGATTGTCTGGTCCAGACTCGATTATTTACAGACCGCCGCCATATAGCTGGAATATTGCTGAGTGCGGCGTAAAACTAAACTCACTCACTCACTCATTTCACCAAAAAAGACAAAGTCTCGTTGAATACAGCGATGAAGAATTAATTCGGCGATACCGTCTAGATGGGAATGGCATTAGATTCGTCGCCAGCATTTGGGAGAAAGGATATTTTTATAAAATAGGACTTCCTAATTTTTTTTATAAAAAGTAGGATTTCCTATTTTTTTAATTTCCCATATATTCTTGAAATCAATTGTTCTAAAGTTGATTACACTTATGATGATAATACCTTTAATAGATATCACTCAAAGCTTTCATATTTAGTCATATATTTATAAACTAGGATTTCCTAAAAAAAATTATAAAGTAGGATTTCCTATTTTTTAAAATTTTCCATTGTTAGTAAACAAAACACAGGAAATTTTACAAATATTCCTGACACTACATGCTGTAGCCTCATCAAACTATTTATTTGTATGAGGTCATGTTCGCTTAAAAAACCTTTTTCGTTCATACATGTTCCTTTCCTTCGTCGTGTGACCTCGGCTAATCATCACTTACACCTACTACATTTTTCCAGTGTTTGATGCATTTTATGGCTGTTTCATAGGCGTACCAATGTAATTCAGAAAAGAGAACAGAAAATCGTACTTATTCAAAACAAATAAAAACTATGTGTGGCGCGTAGTCTAAGACATTTCTGTATTCTTGACTACACCTTGACAGTTGGACCCAATGTTTACATTACCTGCCACGCCTCTTGCCGCTTCGCCGACGTCACGCCCGGACCAAACTTCCTTCCAACACTCTGGCGTTTGTTTTCACGAGTTCTGTCAAAAGCAGGACCTCGTCTTTAGTCCAATTAGGTTTTCTCTTCTTTATCTCAGACTCCGACATATTTTTCACAATGTATTACCGCGGTATCTCAATGTGTCGTCTGCCGTAAATAGCAAAAGGGAGATCCTAACGAAAGCCATTTTCACACCTTTTTATAAAAGAGTTCCGCCGGAAGTCTAAAAATAACTCGGATTCACCCTAGTGATCACGCGGGTATGCACTACGAAAAAAACTTAGTTTGTCTTTGGAAACTTAGCTAAGTTTCTGACTTAGTAGCTTTATGAATAGAATCTTAAGTCTCAGACTTAGCTAAGTCAGTTGTAAAAAACTTAAGTTTGGACTTAGGAAAAATCTTAGTTTCTTTATGAATACCGCCCCAGTACTGTTTGATATTGCAACTTGGAACAGTATTCCAGTGGGAGAAAGGCTTGACGTGATATTGACACGTCCTCATGGCATCAATAGGGAGGTTATAAGTCATTTAATGTTAACTTACAATGGAGTCTATCCTGAGTCTATCCTGAGTAATATTAAAAAATGACAAGTAGGAAACATATTTATTCGTAAAAATGTACAAGATACAATATATTTTATATCCAGCATATTAGTGATTTTGTAAAAATGTATTAAACATGAGTAAGAGGAAAATAGATATAAAACAACACAGAACTAACCCACAGGGATTACCTACAGCGTCTTCTATTCTCCCTGCCAAACGTGACAACACTGAAACCTGATACTTCTCTGAGAGGTGAGACAGGCACCTTGGAACATGGAAAAGTCACAGACCTGAGAGAATCACTGGCCGTTTACTACAACTGCTGGTTATCCCTGCTGGCAAAGGTTACCTGGGCAACATAGGCGCTAACAGTTAACTGGGTAACATGCGTGTTGCACCTAAACTGATAGCAAGGGTTTACTGATCAACATACATGTTATACCCTATCACCTGATGAAGGAGCAAGAATTAGCTTTGAAACGTTGTGATAGAGAATAAAAAAAGAATCTGTTATCCATAAAAAGTGTCATGCATTCATGTTCTTCCAGTTTTTAAATGCCCTTCAAAGACTGCAAGTTACACCCCAGCTGATAGCAAGGAATAACTGATCTATTCATGAAGGCTCTGTTACTGAGACATGCTCCAAGTTAGTGTCACTTCACTGACTATTACCACAGACAGCAACCCAGCAAGATGTGCGTTGCCGAGGCAGACAGAGTTGTCTCCCTTGTGATATCTATACGTGACTTTGAAAGGCACGTCTGTAAAAAAAGATAACCATTTAAAATGTTTCCAAATGAATTTGTTCATGGGTTATTACAAAGAGAATCTCCACAGATAAATAAACATCCCATTACACAACTATTATTGCTGAAGATGTCCTGTATTCCTACAGTGAAGACATCTTTGCATTAAATCAACATGATCACAAATCTGTGCACTGTACAACATGAAGTAATTGATTAGTGAATTGAGGAGCTACTGATTTCTGTGAGCGTGTGCAATCGATCAAAACATAGTAAAGTACATTTTTAAAAAATACATTTTCAATAAAATATTTAATTCAAAACATTTTTTCACAATGACCTATGTTCATGTTCTGTAATACTGAAGTTGTTTTTTGCTCCACCTAAGTGCAAACACACAAAAAAATCTCTGCAGCGAATTGAGGCACTGTAAGCAGCATGTGCCCCCATTTGCTGGTTCGGATTCATTTGCTGGTTCAAATACAAACACACGAAAAGCCCCACGAGAGGGTTTATCTCCAACAACAGATCAACATGGTAACAAAACATACATTTCAATAAAATAACACTGATATTTATCCAGTAAAGCTAATTACGCTCAGTAAAATATGTTCCATGGAAACAGTAATCAAAATAAATGCCAAAATATCTATCAAAAAATGATTAAAGCATAATTGTTAGAAGAATTACGAAGTGAGAATGTCAGTCAAGTTTAATAACAAATTGGTTAAACCCATTTTCAACAATGTCCCTGAAAGTACCAAAGCCATTCAAATGCTTTGATGAAACTCAGGAAATTCGTACACAACATAAGCTGTGGGGTGGTAGCCTAGTGGTTAAAGTGTTCGCTCATCACGCCAAAGACCCGAGTTCGATTCCCTTGGGTATAATGTGTGAATCCAATTTCTGTTGTACTCCGTGATGATATTGCTGGAATATTGCTAAAAGTGGTGTAAAACTAAACTGAAACATTCACTCTTACACAGCCCAGTACGCCCTGATGCTGATGAAACCAGGATAGATT